TCCGCCCTGGCCCAGACGAGGCCGGGATCAGACCCCCTGCCCTGGATCCAAACTTTGGGACGTTCTAGATCCAAACTCTACGGCCGGGCGCCCAACCCCAGAATGGACTAAACCCCCCAGATCCAAACGTCGGGAGATGTTCAAAAGCCAGCTCCTGCTCCCAGCTTTGCGGATTGGGTCCCTTCTTGATCACTGAGACTGATGTGACTTGCTGCACCACGTCATTCCCCCCCAAGTTCCTCCAGAGGAGCGTGAACCAGGGCAGCCCTCCTTGCATGCTACCTCAGCTCAGGGGAGGGGGTGGATGCCCCTCCATGCCTCACCCTGTGCCAGCTCTCAGAACCAGGGCACCGGATTTTGCATCGTGACATTTACCGCCCGGATCAGAGAGAGTTAATCAGTCCATCCTGGGGCAGATTCACCCACTGCAGGGCAGGGGCAGCTGGCAGCAGCGGGGAAGGGAGAGGGGAAGGATCAGGCCCCTGAATTTTAATGGGGGAGAAAGAGGGAGTGTAGAGTCTCCAGCCGCTGAGCTTTGCTGCCAGGTTTGATCTGGGGCAGAACCAGCTCCAGAGAAAGTCCCCGGGGATCCTGAGGCCGAGACACCAGGGGCCCCCCGAGAGGCCGATCCTGGCCCTGCCCCTCCCTAGCATCAGTCGCCGCCTTTTCCCCCCCAGCCCCCATCCTGCCAGGATCCCAATACCACTGCACTGCCCCCTCCCCTGGCAGGGCTCTGGCAATATTGCCTTCCCTCTATCCCCCCCATTGGGCGCTCGCTCCCTCTCCCATTTCCCCGCTCCCCCCTGGGGCACAGAGCCTGCCCCCCACCCCGCAGAGAACTGCTCCGTGGGCTGCTGGGGGAATTTGCAGGCGTCACCCTCCAGGGATCCTGGAACGCGCTGCAGCCGGGCACCAAACCCACGCGGGGGGACTGGTCACAGGAGCCTCAGACCACAGACCCACCACGCCAAGAAGGCCGTAACTACGAGGGGAGACGGTCACATGCAGCGAGCTGCAGACCACACTCCCAGGAGGGGGGGGACATGGGCAGGGATTTCACCAGGGGGTGCCCGTCGTTCTGCAGAGCACGGGGCCAGGCAGAGGGCACCAGCTAAACGCTGCTGAGTCCGCAGTGCACAGCTGGGGGTTCTGATTGAAATCCCCCCTCGTCACCGGCCTTCCTGATTTCAGGGCCCAATTCCCACTGCCCTGAGCCTGACTCCCCACCATGACCTGGGGGCCCCGCTGCCCCACATCCTCACATGGCCTCACGCTCCCCGCACCAGCACCAAGCGAGCGGCAAAATGACCTGCCAACTCAGCCTGGCAGCCTTTGGGTCTGCGCTGTGCTCTGGCCGCAGGCGGTGCAGGGGGGCAGGAGATCAGGCCTGTGGATTCCCCAAACACGCTGCCAGGCTGCTCCAAGGCGCCGGAAGGCCGCCCGAGATGCCTACGTGCAGAGCCGTGTCTGCTCCGAAGTGGGTCAGGGAAAGGAGCGGGGGACCCTGCCTGGCAGTTGGTCCGATCTTTATAAGCCAACAGACAGGTTTTTAAATGGAGAATGAATTCGAGTGGCAGGAAAGTTTATTTGGCAGATCCAGCCCCCTTTCGCTGCAGTGGGATAAGCTACAGAAATCTCCCCCGCCCGCCCCGCAGGGGTCAGCAGGCCCAAGGCCAGGGCAGGCTGGTTATTCCGGCTTCTTGCCACACCCTGCTTTCATCTGCCCCCTCTGCAGCAGCTGCAGAAGCCCCCACCAGCTGGGATCTCCACCTCCCTGGGGAGATCAAGCTCTTAAAAGGGAAAGACAATCAGGGCAGAGATCCCAGGACGGATCAGCTATTGTTTGAGCTGATTGGCAGCCTGGAGGAGTCAGGGGGCTCCTGGCCTGGCGGAGGGGGCGGCCGGGCCCTAGCATTGTGTCTCCCCCCACCATTCCCTGCCCTATGCACAATGTAGCATGGGGCATCGGCGCTGCAGCCCCTCCCCCGGCAGGCCACCCCAAAACCGCTCCCCCAGGGCAGCTCCCCCACACTGTTCACCATTCGATGCCAGGCTGAAGGTGTGGGGGGCGGGAATTTATTCAGCACTGATCCAGCCTTTATTTGGGGGTCCATGGGTGGGCAGTGGGGCGACCTCACCCCCACCCCACGGAGCATTGCTGCAATAACTAGATCTGCTGGGACTCTACACCCAAGCCCCCTTCCCCGCCCCCCACCCCCAAGGTGCTGGGGAGTCCAGCCCAGGTGCAGCCGGGCTCTATGGGGCTCTGGGCCCCACGCACCCTGTCCCCAGGAGGGAGTCGGAAAGGCTTTAGCTAGGGAATTAGCACTGACTGGAGGCGCAAGGGGGCTGAGACGGATCCCAGTCCCCTCCAGCACAATGCCAGCCCCCCGGGCACAGACACTGAGGGGGCAGAGGGTGGGGTCTGCTGCCCAACCGGCGGGATTGCAAGGAGGGGATAATAACTGGGGGGGGGGGAACCAGCCAATCCCCCCCTACACACAGAGCAGGGTCCCTGCTGATGGGCAGGTGGGGGAGGCAGAGCTGGGCACTCAGGACAGAGGCACCAGGTGCCTGGAGAGAGTAGCTGATTTCATCCTCCCACAGCTTGTGCCCCACGGCGTGGGAATGGTCAGCCCTCAGGCGTCTGTCCCTGCCCTGGGCCAGGAGAAATCCCCCCACCTGCCCTCCAAGGCCTAGGCATAGGGATGGTGAGTGTGATGGCCTCCGGTCAGATACCACGGTGACGGACGTGGTATAAATGCTTAGGCCAGCGGGTTCTCAGCCTCGGCCCTTCCCAGGTATCTATGGGGCTGTCCCTGGCTCCAGGGGATGCGGGGGGCAGGCAGAGCAGATGGAAGCACGGGCCAAGAAAGGGAGAGCAGAGGCAGCGCCCTGGTGTGGGAATCGCCCCTCCAGAGCCCTCTGCGGATGCCAGCAGGTGGGTTCACAGAAAGCCCCCGAGAGCCCCCTTCTCCCTCTGCTCATCAACCAGCCCCCAGACGCCCCAGTTCACAGACGCTGGGATGAGGAACATGCCCAGAGCCTGCTGCAGCCGCCGCCGCCTGCCCCCAGACAGGAGCATGCGTCGCACGGGGAACACTCCTGCTGCCAGGACCCCCCCAGCCCCGGAGTGGAGAGACAGTCCCTGCCCCAAAGAGCTCCCAAATACGCTTGCCAGGAGACGGGTCATTCAGTCAAGTCTGGCTTCCGAACACGGTTCCTCTCGGGAGTTTTAACACTCTGCTAGGGAGTCCCCCAGGTTAGTGCTCCAGAATCCACCTGCCCCATGCAAACAATGCGCCCAGCTCTGTGGCATCTGATCTCGTCACAACCCTTATTTTGCTGTGTTGAGAGATGAAAATTATGCTCTAGAGTCTGTCTCCCCCCCGCCACAAAATCCACTGCCTCTGGATTGCACGCCCAGCCCCCCCTCCCAAATCCACTGCCTCTAGAGTGTGTGCCCAGCCTCCCTTACGAGTCACAAACACACGCGATCCATTTTACTCCGACGTGATTCCAGAGCCGAGCGTAACCTGCAGCGTGGAGCAGCTCCATGCTCCACGGATCACGTGACACGCCAAAGCTGCTGACAGCACCCTTTGCAAAAGGGAAACGAGGCCTGATTCTGTTCGCATTTACACTGGTGTAAAACCAGCGTCACTCCACTGGCATCAATGAAGCTACTCCTGATTTATACCAGTGCGAGAGAAAAATAAACAGATCACACCCTGAACTTTTCCCCATTACAATCCTCTGCTCGTGCCAGGGGGGCACTGGGGCTCCCTAGCCAAGGGCCATTGTAAAATCTGCACCCCCCCTTTTCCACTGCAGCTCAGATGTAAACCCTAGGGGTCAGCTCACCATTACGCTACTCCAGTATTACGCCCGGGGAACTCCACTGAACTCCAAGGACTTATGTCCAGCAAAACAGGGGTAGTACAAAGAGGATCAGATTGGGAATCCGGAGGCCTGGTTTGTGCTCCGGGTCTTGCCCTGCTGCTGTATTTGCTTGAATTGATTTGATTTGAAGCTGTGTGAGCCCCAAACCCCCACATTTAAATCTCCCACTGAATTCATCCTCATCTTTCCCCCCAAACCGCTTCTGATCCCAAGTGAAGGAAGGGGCTCCCGCCTCTCTGCTCGGGCTGTTCAGCATGCAAAGATGATGCCAGCAAAGCCTGCAATTAAGCTGGTGGGAGAACAAGTGACATTGCTGCAGATACACACCGAGCTACATGGCCTCTTCCCAGACATCCATCCCCACGCTAAACCGCAGCAACCCTTTGGCCCCCTCGCCTCACCTCCCCCAGCCCCAAATGTGTGGCACCTCCCTCGCCACGCGAGACACCCCCTCTCCCATGCACCCACCCGGCCACGTATGATGGGGGGGGGGGAGCAGAGAACCACAAACATCAGAGCAGTCCCAGCTGTTTTCTTTTTAAATCCCATTTGCCTTTTAAATCGCTGAGGTCAGGAGAGAATCCAGGCTCCAGCCTGGATTCCTGGGCAGTTTTTACAACCCAGTTGTATTTCAAGCAAAACAATCTTCCCCCAGTGAAGAGTTTAAGCCAAATTATGCAGCAAGGGGGGGGGGGGGCGGGGATCAGCCAGCCCTCCTCGGCTTTTATCTGATTTTCTTGGACCTTGGGTTGCACAACAGGGGGGTTTTCAGCCCAATTCCAAGGCTGTGCTCACATCTGGCCAGGGAAAGCCACTGAGAGACCCATCCCCACAGCCGGCTGGTGGCAGCTGACCTCAGCAAGCCAAACAACCCACACCGGGCAGTCAGCGATTTAACTGGGGCAGGGTGACACTGGGGATCCATCATTTGGAAATCGAGCTGGGGCGGGGGGGAGAGAGCATTTACACCCCCCCTCAAGACGCGTCTAGCGATGACACGTTGCGGGGGGAGGGGGGGGAGCTGGGACTTTAAGTGAATGTTTGAAAAGGAGGGTGGGGGATATACGTGCCCCCGAGTCTATGGGTCGGAGAGTTACCTTCGTTTCGTGGAGGCTGGAGATGGTGCCCGGGGACCGCTGGGCATCTGGGTTTTGGGGGTCATTCTCCTTTTCGGTTAGCTCCGTCATGATGCTGGTGCAAATAGGTCAAGATGGGGAAGGGGGGGAAGATCCCCCCCGACCTCTCTGGTTTTCAAGAAAAGAATAAAAACCCGCCTGGGTGCTCCCGGGGGGGGGCAGCCCCGGCTCCCCCTGTCCACACTTGGAAATCAAACTTCTTAATTGCCCCTTATATTAACTCGATTACAATAAATCCCCCCCAGACGCGTAGCAAACCCCGGCCCCTGGCTTGTCCCGGGCCCCCGCAAGCCCGTCCCCCTGTAACTAAAGCCCCCGCGCTGCGACCCGGCCGGGCTGCTCGGCGCTGGCTGCAGAGTGCCCGGCGCTGAGCGGGGGACACACGTTTGATTTAGGAGGCTGCCTGGCTCCGCCCCCTTCGCTTCCACGAGAAGTTCATTAACCTCGCTCGTTCTTTGGCTATGCTAATGAGGGGGCCGATTGCCGCCTGCCCATTGGCTGCCCGGCAGGGGGCGGAGCGGCCGCTCCGCTCCCAGGCCCCAGCCCCGCTCAGAAGTTCCTTGGGCACCGTGGGAGCGGGCGGCTGCGGGCCAGTTTCAGAGCAGCCCTGGGGGCGGAGGCGCTGCCGCACCCCCGGGCTTGAAGTTACAGTTTGGGCTTCAGTGGCTCTCAGTCCCCCGCCCCCCATACAAATTGTTCCAGTGCCCCTGCCCCCGGGGGGTGCCACTATCTTCTGTGGGGTCAGGGTTTTTTTCGGGGGTATCCCCAATTCTATCCTGACCCCCCCCCCACCATCTCCCCTCAGCCACGACGCTCTTGGGTCCTCCTGCAGCCCCGCACGGTTGGACGCTCCCGGCCTTGCACGGCGGAATAGTGCAAAGGCGGCAAAGCGGGATCCCTCATGTAGGGTGGATTGGGGGGGGGGTGTTATGTGGAAGCATTTTCCCTTTTTTAAGGTGGCATTTTCCTCGCTGCCTGCTGTCAGCGAGAGCTAAAATCCCCCCGCGGGTGGGTGGTTTTCCTTCAGCCCCCCCTGAGAATAAGACCCATTCCTCGCTGCGCCCCACTCGCCGGTCCTCTGGCATGCTGCCACGCATCAGCCCGCCCCCCCAGCCTGCTGCCTGCTAGGCCCAGCTCCCAGACATCTGCTCACACACGCAAACAATGAGCTCACGGTCAGGTCCTCAGCCGCCGCGTGTGCCTGCAGCCGCTGGATTGATGGGGGGACCGGCGGGGAGCAGGGCCCTGTGCGGTACCGAGCACAAGCCGCTTTTCCTGGCTCCTTCCCATTGTTCGCTCTCCACCCGCCCCCACCCTCCCTGGCCACATGCTTCTCTCGCTCAAGCCGGTGGCATCAGGCTGCTGATGATTTCACCCCAGCTATTCTTGGGCCTACTCGGCTACCCACCATCTTTACTCATGCGTGAGCCACTGAGCATGCCTCAGCATATTAACCTAGCCAGACGCTGGCTGGAGCCATCCCCGCTTGTCTTTTGCTGGTTTGCCTTTCAGGCCAGCATCCCAGAGAGCTTCCTTCCCTGATCCTGGCGCTCGCCTCCCTCGGCATCGCCCGTCCCCATATTACCAACAGGGTCAGCTGAGGGGCAAAGGGGGTGGAAGGGAGCTGCTCAAAGGACAGTGGCAATAGCCGCCCCTCCTCCCCCAGCAATTTGTGACTCAGTGATAGAGCCAGGACGAGAAGCCCTCCCCCCCACCCCCCCCCGGCTCCTAGCGCCCAGCCCGAGTTGCCATCCAAGTGGGCAGAATTCACAAGGCGCCAGGCTGAAATGTTGTAGCTGGGTTTTGAAGACAAGAGGGAGGTCTGGGTCATTTTGTGATTAGCTGATCAGCACGGAGGCGGGGGGAGGGGGGAAGGAGGGGATTTCCCCCAACCACTGCTTCACAGCACCGTACAATGGGCCGGGGGGAGGGATCACCTTCTCCTGCAGCTTCGGTTATGGGCGGGGGCACTTGGGGCACAAACTGGGTCTGAGTTGTTCTTCACACGAATGCAAGGAGACCATGTGTTAAACCAATGAGCTCTTTTCTCCTTCGCTTACCGTTCCCCGCCACAGAACACAAGCCCTGGCCTGCCTCTAGCTGCTCGCTGCTCTGATCGGCAGGCCCGTCCCTGCACGGCTGGGCACCCTGCGCAGGAGGTAGGAGTGTGGGGCAGCAGGCCCAGCTCCCAAGGGTGTGTCGGCACCTAACTCTCCTTGACTTTCCCGGGGAGGGACGTGAGCTGGTGCAGAATTTACCTCTGCTCCTCCTCCCAGCCCTGCGGGCTGGTCTATACTCCGGGCACTACAGTGCTGTACCTGTGCCGCTGTAATGCCAGAGTGTAGCCGCTTCCTACAGCGCCGGAAGGCGTTTTTCCACTTCACAGAGTGAAGACAGACAGGTCGACGGAAGAATGCGTCGGTGCCGATCAGCTGATGCCTGAGATCTGATCACCCCCATGCCCATCTCAGCCTTTATTGTCTCTAGCTGTGGCAGAGCCGTGGGGTTCGGGGTGGTGGTGAATTTTTCACACACCCCTCCCACCCCCGCGGCAGAGCTATGTTGATCTAATCTGGAAGTGTAGACCAGGCCTCTGGAACCCTCTCAAAAGTGGTGTCACTCCCAATTCACCAATGCCCAGCTTGGCTAAGGCCTGGTAGCTATTCGAAAAGTTGCCCCGGCAGAATTCGGTGTTTTTCGGTGGAGACAGGTGTGCAGCCACATCTGGGTTCTTCCCCAACCGAAATCACCTGCAGCTTTTGCACTAGACACTCCCGCCTGTTCGGAGCCCTGTCAGTGGAGGGCCAGCACAGCCGCATGCCGACGCAGGCCTGGTGGTACCAGAAAACGCAACCCTCCCAGTGCGTCCCACATCACACCGCTCCCTCCAGAAGCCGCCTGTCTGGCAGCCTTTTGAAGCTCTGCTGCCCATCAAGAGGCCAAAGGGCAGAGGAGCATGGATGCCACGCATTAATCGCCGGGCGTGGGGAATTCCGGGGGCTGGCATCGCTGGCCGGGGGTGAACCCCAAGGCCAACTGAGATGAGGGTTACTCCCCCACACACCTCTAGCTGCAGGGCTGGCGGATTCAGCCAGGGCTGGTTTGACGCAGCTCCGCAATGAGGACGTGTTTTACAAGCGTCACTGCCCCCAGTGCAAAGCAAAGGGCTGATTTATGATCACGATGAGCTGTTTAGTCCCATCCTTCAAAGCCCAGGGAATTAAAATGCACCAGAGCCCCTTGTCTCCATTCAATCATCCCCGAGACAAGAGGTTTTTAACGAGACGTTCCTGGCAAGCGTTGGTGAGATTCTCAGCCTCTGGCCGCTCCCGCTCTTCTCTGGGGCGTGGGGATTCTCCATCCTGCTTGCTGAGACCTGAGCTCCTCTGACCAGCCAGTCCTGGGGTGTCACAGCGGAAGCTGCAGGATTTGGACAACCGGGGAGATGCTGGGCACTGGAAATCTGACCCCCTGGGCCCCAATCTGCTCCCCTTTACCTGTGTTGAGTAACAACCTACTCCAGCAGCCGACCCCTGGGAATGTACAGAGAGGAGCCAGCACGTAGATTACAGGGATATAAACGCGTGAGCTCCTTAGCCCACAATAAACCACTGAGAAAATTCTTCTGGCTGAGCCAGAGCCCAACTTTTAGAGAGCCATCCGGTCTGGCGGGAGCCACTCCGCCAGGTCCTTGTGGGTCAGTTCCCCTGGCTGCCAAGACCTGGATGCTTATCTGGTGCCTGCATTTGTCAGCCGGATTCAGGGGCAGAGGGGAGCTAGCGCCTCCTGCAGGAGAAATATCAGGGGCTGCCCTTTAACCCCGAGCATCACCCCTGGCTCCAGCCACCTCTGAGCCCCAGGCCAGGGCCCAGGAGCGAGAGACACCCCTCTCTGCCCCACCCCCCATTCGAAGCAAGCTCTGGCTGGATTCAAACTGGAGCCCTCTGTCCACAAATGCTTTTCCACCCTGCTCTGCCCCTCCAGGAGCTGATACCTGAGCTCCAAAACGCAGGGCGGGAAACGGCCAACCAACGGGTTAATAGCCACCGTAGTTTAGAGCCCAGTTTTTCTTCTCTCGCTCTCTCTGCCCCTTACTGCTCGTTCACTCTGCCGGCGAGCGTCAGCATTCCCCCAGTGACTGCCAGAGCGCAAGCTTTGCTCACAGCTAGTCATTCTCTTCCCGCTGCCCCCGACGTCATCGCTTCCCGGTTTGCATCCCACAGCCTGGGCGTCAACGCTGATGTTCCCAGGACCCTCACTTTGGAAGGCGCTTTGATGCTCGACGGCGCGGGCGCTCTTGCTGTTTGCACAGACCGATGCTCCCAGCGCAAAGGCAGCAGCTGCATCTGGATTTGGATCCGAGAGTTGGTTTTTTCAGTGCTCCCTTCAGCAATGGAGGAGGCCTGGAGGGGAAGCGGGGGGTTAACCCTGCAAAGAGGAAATTTCCCCATGGACAGATTATGCCGTAATTGTCCACTAGGGGGCGGCTCTTGCACCATTCTCTGAACCAGCTGGTGCTGGGTGCTGATACAGGAATAGGGTTGCTGGGAAAACTGGAAGTCTGCCCAGGCCCTTAAAAGTCCCGGGTTCTGTCAGTCACACCCCTGCTGGCTCCCCCAGCCCCCACTGGCTGTAGCCGGAGGGGCGGCAGTGCTGTGCAGAGGCACCTCTGGCTCCAGGGTGTCTGGGAGCCATGGGGATGGGTCAGCAGCAAACAGGACGGGGGGAGCTCTGGGCTGGCAGTGCTCGGTCACCACTATGCAGGTTCTAGCTGAGTGGGTCACCGCCAGGGTGGATTTGGCGAGGTCGGTGCCGGGGGGGGCAGGATCTTGCAGGGCTGGTGCCCTCTCCTGGAGGTGGGATGGGGACACAGGGCCCTGGGTGGGGGAGAGGCGGTACCCAGGGGTGTATGTGGTGGAGGGCAGGCGGACGTCTGAGTCTTTTGGACCTTAGAGGTGGCCACCCTGTAACAAGACTGGCTGGGTCTCTGGGCTGATCCCAGCTGGCAGGCCCTCTGTTCCCGTTCACACTGGCTGTGCTCACACGCTAAGGCACTCGTGTCCCACGAGGATTTGTGTGTCACCAGCAGGCATTCCCTGCTTTTACATTTGTGCCAAAACTCAAAGATCAATTCAATCCGGCG